CGCCCACCGAGGCCCCAGCCCACAGAGTCGCCAAGCGAGCCCACGGGGGCCCCCGCGCGCTGCCCACTGAGGCCCTCCGACACGGCCCACGAGGCCCCCGACGCAGCCCACAGAGGCCCAAAACGTGCCCACAGAGGCCCCAAGCGCGCCCACAGAGGCCCCAGCGCGTTGCCCACTGAGACACCCGACGCAGCCCACAGAGGCCCCGGCCAACAGAGGCCCCAGTGCGCTGCCCACTGAGGCCCCCCGGCACAACCCACAGAGGCCCCAAGAGCGCCACAGAGGCCTCAGCCCGCAGAGGCCCCGAGCGCGCCCGAAGGCCCTCGCGCGCTGCCCACCGAGGCCCCCGACGCAGCCCACCGAGGCCCAAAACGCGCCCACAGAGGCCTTAGCCCGCAGAGGCCCCAAGCGCGCCCACAGAGGCCCCAGCGCGCTGCCCACTGAGACCCCCGACGCAGCCCACAGAGGCCCCAGCCCACAAAGGCCCCAAGCGCTCGATGCTTCCTCGCGATTTGCTCCGAAAAGCCCTCTCGCGTGGTCCATCCTTCTCTTCCCCCGTCCGTCCTCCCTTCCCCTGTTTTGTTTTAGGGGCTCCGCTTCATGTGTGCGGCAGGTAAGGTAGAGATACCCCCGAGGGGGTTCGATCGAAGACAAAGAGGGCGGGTATCGAGGGTTTGGGATATATGTGTTGCGTGGCACGCGATCACATAATAACAAACTGTCTTAAAATTGTTTGTTGTTGATGTTGTTGTTGTTGTTGTTGGTGGTGGTGCTGTTGTTGTTGTTGTTGCTGTTGTTGTTGTTGTTGCTGTTGTGGTTGCTGTTGCTGTTGCTGTTGCTGTTGCTGTTGAACATTATTACTTCTAAAGAATAATTATTGTTGGGACCCCTGGTGCATGGCCCCCCCGCCGCGCCTAGGCCGCAGCCACGTTTTCATTATTTTCGTGAGGAAGTCTCAGGCAAAACGGGTTGGTCCGGATCCGGTTGTGTTGTTACGATCGGTTTTCCCTTGCAAAAAATAAACTAAAGTGGACATTTCTTGTTCTAACATATCCAAACTTCAAGAATCCCTTGCAAAAAATAAGGTAAAGTGGACATTCGCGCGCGCAAGGCGAAATCCTTCCAAAACCTTAGTTTTCGTAACGATTTTAACATAAAAGCATAAAAAACAATGGTTTTTCAAAAAAAAAAAAAATGTCAAAATTTCATCCCGTGCGCTCTTGCGGATTCGTAGGAAACCCAACACTTTTTAAACATTTCTGTCAAACGGGCTTTTGCGAGCAACTTTTTCGAACTTCTGCAACAACGGTTGCGCACCTGCCAGGGCCATCATCCCTGTCAAATAATACCATGCGGGACACATTCGTTTTTTCTTCGCGCGCGCACGCCGTCGTCGTCGGCCGCGGGGCCCTGAATAGTAGCCACGGTCGTCCGCATGCCACGAAGTGAAGTGTCCGAACGTCATAGGGCGGGAAGCTGGGTGTGGGTGGTGGCGAAGAGTCGTTTGGAAATTTGGTAGAGCTTGAACCGGCCCCCCCACAAAGTGGGGGTATTGCCCGCCTCCTATGAAAACCCTGGCACTGGTGAGAATGGAGTGTCCCCACGTGCTAGTAATTGTTGTTGTTGTTGTTGTTGTTGTTGTTGTTGTTGTTGTTGTTGTTGTCCGTTGTTCGTTGTTCGGCGAACCCCCCGCGACCCACCCCGCGACCCACCCCGCGACCCACCCCACGACCCACCCCGCGACCCAATCCGCAACCCGCCAGCGACCCACCCCGCGACCCACCCGCGACCCACCGGCGACACACCCACGACCCACCCCGCGACCCGACCCACCCCGCGACCCATCCGCGACCCACCCGCGACCCACCCCGCGACCCATCTGCGACCCACCCGCGACCCACCCCGCGATCCACCCGCGACCCACCCGCGATCCACCCGCGACCTATCCACATTGGTTTAAAGAAAATCGGCGCCTGCGGCGGGCTCATTGTATACTTCGTGAAACGTCGGCGCCTGCGGAGGGCTTTCCCAGAGTCTCGCAGATTGCCGACGTCCCCATCGTCCCCTCACTCTTATCCGCATCTGCGGGGTACTATATATATATATATATACATATATATATATGTATATATATGTATATATATATATATATCTCTCTTTCTGCACCATGCGGGGTGTCCAGATCCTCTCCCGGCTCCGCCCCAGGCCTTCCGTGGCTCGCCTCCTCGTGTCTTCCATGTTCCGTCGCTGCTGGCGCACGGCCTCAGTGACAGCCTGGGCCTTGCAGAAGGGGGTTCTGGCAAATGGTTCATAGGCCCTGGCCTTCGTGCTCGCTCGGGTCTGGGATCATGGTTTCTTGTTTCGAGTCGGGTAGTTGGTCGTTTCAGTTTCATGGCTGCGTGAGGCCAGCGCCTTGGCGTCAATGATCCAATATCCAAGTCTCCCAAGTGGGGCCAGGGCAGGCGGGAGGATCGCGCCGCAGCGACGATGCATCGGCGATGCGGCGCTCCATGCAGCCCGCTCTTGCCCATCCCACCGTCGCCGATGCATCGGCGATTCGGCGCGATCCTCCGACCCCACCTGCTCTGGCCCGATATGCGAGGCCTGCAGTATGCGGAGGAGGAGCAGGAGGAGTAGGCAGAAGGAGGAAGGACGAAGGAGAAGAGCAGGGGGAGCTGTTTCAGCGTTGTTGGCCCTTGTTCGACCTCCCACAGCTTCCGGTGGCCTTCGTGGACTCCGGTCGGGGGCCTCCATGCAGTGACTTTTGGGGCAGAAGCATTGGCCAGGGGGAATGAGTGGATAAGGCGGAGGGGAGCACAGGGTGATGGAGGGAGGGGGAGAGGAGGGAGGAGCGAGGAGGAGGGAGGAGAAGTGTTTGAGCGGTTCTGGTGTGTTTGGACGCACTCTCGGCGATCAGGCGGGGTCGAGGACCGTTGACTTTCTCTTCGTGCTGACGCCACGCGCAGTGCCGAGTCTTCTGTTTCTTCCTCCCCTTCCTCCACTCCGCTCCCCTCGGGCTGCCCCAGGCCAGCTCCTCCCTCCCCTTTGGTTTGGGAGGACCGGCCAACTGCTGGAGTCTGTTGCTGTTGAGGGTCTGGCCATACCCTGGGCTCCAGGAACTCAGGCCCGATGAGACCAGGACGCAGATTAAGCACTTTGATTCCTTTTGATTCTGATTGATTCCTATTGATTCCTGTTGATCCCTCAGGGATCATCAGGGGTCCCCAAGAACATGCACACATGACTGGGGATCCTTCGGGTCCAGGACATTGGCAAGCCGGGCGAAGCCAAAGTCAGAGTTGGTCGTCCGGTGCAGTGGTTTTCCTTGGCTGCGCTGCTGGATGCGGGCCCGTGCCCTGGTCTTGGGGAGGGTTCGCAGGTTTTGTTACGACCTTTGTCTGGGTGTCTCCTGGGAGGCTTGCAGTGCAGTTTCTTTGTCGTGCCGCCGTTCGGACACATTTGGTTTCGAGGGAGGTCCAATGCCCTGGTCTGGAGTGTCCGGGCCTCCAGGGCCCCGACGGGCCCGCCCGCCCCCTCCCCCCCCTCCCTCCAGATCTTACCCCGGCCTTGTCGGCTGCGCAGGCAGGTCCGAAGGGGGGTACGTCGCAGTGCTGGTGCGCGCGAGCATTCATTCTGGGTGGCCCAACAGGGGGTCCAGCTGAAAGGGGGTGGTGCAATATTTGGGGCAATTGTATTGCAAATGTATTGCGCCGGAGACTTGTATTGCATTGTATTGCAGGTAATGCATGGCGCGCGGAAGTACAGCAATACATGTGCGCCCCAAAATGTAGTGCACGCCCCAAATGTATTGCAACCCCACAAATCTATTGCACCAAATCTCTTGCACCACCCCCTTGTCGCTGGACCCGCACTTCTCGCCCGATAGCCAAGGCTCTCGCCGAAAGCTGAGCCCAAAAAAGGGTGCTGCGCGCCGCGGCGCCACCCCTGCTCCGCCCCTCGCCGCGGTGCAGGCTGTGCATGCGGCGCAGGCTCATGTGGTGCCAGCCGTGTGGCGGCAGCTGCTGCGGCGTGCGCTCGGGACTCTTGCGGAGGGCGCGCCGCTCTGCCGGGTCTGGCCCGCCACGCGTCGGAGCGACGCGCTGTCCGCTTCGCGGTCCCAAGAGCGTCCACGTCCCGAGCCCTCTCCCAGCCCTCCCGCCCCGCCCGAGCGGAGCGACGCGCTGCTCGCCCGCTCGCCGGGCACGGCGTGTGACGCCATGGGGGCCGCCGCCGCGGCCCGCGGAGCAGCAGCCTTCCGACCCTGCGGCGTGGCGCAGGCCGTGTGTGGCGCAAGCTGTGTGCGGGAGGGGCGCGGCCGCGGGCGGCGGCCCATCGGCCGGAGGAGGGGCCCGACGTGCCCACGATGGGGATGGGCCCACTCCACCACAACTACCACAGGTAGGGGGGAGGAGGAGGAGGAGGAGGAGGAGGAGGAGGAGGAGGAGGAGGAGGAGGAGGAGGAGGAGGAGGAGGAGGAGGAGGAGGAGGAGGAGGAGTGTGGCGAAATCTGTGTGGTGCAAGCCATGTGGTGCACTCTGCGTGGTGCCAGCGCTGTGGTGCAAGCTGTGTGATGCCCACTGGGCAGGCGCGGCCACGCCCTGCGGCCTCGACGCGGGCACTGGGAGGCGGCGAGGCCGCGGCGGCGACTGGGCGAACACGCGGACACGCACGCCAGGTGCCAGAGAAAAGAAAGTACAGTGGGGGCGCGCATCAAGAAACCGTGTGCTTTTCGTCAGGGTGCCCTGGGCTTCTTCGCTCCGCACGCTGCGCGGTGACTTCCCGCGGCCGTTGAAGGAGCTGCTGCGTTCGGGGTACCCCGGACTTCCCCCCAGTCGCACGTCTCGTGCGGGTCTTCAGGGCTGGGTTTCTTGCGAGGGGTTCTTGCGGCCGCGCCCGCACTGTAGGAGCCCCTCAGTGCAAGTACTGACTATCAACAGCCTCGATCTTCGACGGCGACGATGACGACCGTCGCCGCCGATGTCGCCGCCCCCGCCAGCCAGGAGCAGCGCAAGCGCACGGCCGGTCACCAGGACGCCGCGGAGGCCATCTCGAGGGAGGCCTGGGGGGCGCCGCGGGCTGGGGGGCCCCGCCCCAGGAGGTGCGGATGATGAGCAGGTCCCGCAAGGCCTGAGGTTGCGCACAGACAGCTTCCGGATTCAATGGATCCAAATCGATGGTGGTTCCAGCGGGCCCGCTCCGATTCGGTTCCGATGTCTCGGGGGTCCGATGCGGCCTGGTGTTTGCATTGCGGTGTTGTGCATTCTGACGCGGCCAATCCGATTCGATTCCGACTCCGTGCTGATGCAGCCCGATTCGACGTACGTTCCGATTCGATTCAACTTCTCGATTCCATGCTGATTGGTCTTTAGGGTGGTCTCAAGTTCAAACCGCCCTGAGGATCAACATTATCATGATCGTGAGCGTTATCATCACCACCATCATCAGCAGCATCATCATCAGCATCATCATCAGCATCATCACCACCATCATCAGCACCAGCACCAGCACCAGCATCACCAGCACCAGCATCAGCATCAGCATCAGCATCAGCATCATCGTCATCATCATCATCATCATCATCATCATCATCATCATCATCATCATCATCATCATCATCATCATCATCACCATCATCATCATCATCGTCATCATCAGCATCATCGCTCTTGAGGGGGAGGCACCATGCCAGAAAGCTCACCAGTATGAGCTTAGACCTCCTGGCGGACCAGCCAGCAACGCCCCGGCGCCGCCTCCAGCGGCGCCCCGGGGGGCACTCCGCGCCCTGGGCGTTTGGGGAGTCCGCGGAGGCCACCTCGAGGTAACCATGGCCGCGCGTCCCCCCTCGGATGTCTCGTCCTCTCTCTTCGTCCCTCGTCCCCCGCTGCGTGCCTCGTGTGCTTCTCTGCTGCCCCTTGCTTGCCGTCCGCTGCCTTCTCCGTTTTCTCCCCTTCCTCCTCTAGTGCGTGCGCTTTTGGCGATGTCTCGCGTGACATTCCTGGGTTGCCCCGTGGTCTTCTGTCTCACGCTGTGAAGCCATTTGTGCATGGAGGTCTTGAGGGAAAAACAGAAATCCCCCTAGGAGGACAGGACGGAACGGCCACACCCGGGGGGGACCTGTGGCCCTCACTCGAAGAAGAGGTGCGAGGGCCACCAGAGGTCGAGGCCCCCCGCCTCTGAGGATCAGGATCTCCTGCGGCTCGCAATGGCCACGAGCCGTATATGCCCATGGCTTCGAACAAACTGGCAGGGGAGGAGGAGACAGAGGAACAGGCCAGACAACAGGAGGGGAGGAGGGGGAGGAGGGGAGGAGGAGAAGGAGGAGGAGGAGGGGGAGGAGGAGGGAGGAGGAGGGGGAGGGGGAAGAGGGCCCTGGGCGGTGAGGGTCGACAGGTCGAGACACCCTGGGCGTGGAGAAGGATGTGCCGTTTGACTCTTTCCTCCTCCTCCTCCTCCTCCTCCTCCTCCTCCTCCTCCTCCTCCTCCTCCTCCTCCTCCTCCTCCCCCTCCTCCTCCTCCTCCCCCACATGGGATCCGAGCAGATGAGGTCGGAGCATCGCGCCGCATAGCCGATGCATCGGCGAAGCGGCTCGATGTGGAGCCGGAAGCTCTCTACGCCGATGGCGCCGATGCATTGCCGACGTCGCCGATGCATCGGCGAGGCACTGGCGATGCGGCGCCATCCTCCGACTCCATCTGCGCGGACCCCATCCGGGAGGCCCTGGGTTCGTGATGTATGCTTTTCCCTCCGTGCTCCCCGATCGGGTGCAGCCCACGGCGCGTGACTCTCGGCGAGAGCCCGCGGCCCGCCAGTGCCGCCCAGGAAGACCCGCACGGGGGTCCATCGTTGGAGCGCGGGCTCGTTGCTCTCGTGGCCTGGGATCGGGGCGCTGGAGCGCCCGTTTCTTGCTGCCTGCGGTCGGAAGCCTCTGGATAGCGTGTCGCTATCGCTATCGCTATCGCTATCGGCCCGATGTCCTGTCGGACGCAGCCGTCCGCGCGGCCCGAGCTACGCGCGCGCGCCCGAAGCGCATAGGGGGGACCACCCCCCGACACAGACCCCCGCCAGGAGGACGAAGGGAAAGCCGCCTAGGCTTCGAAGAGGAAGGAAGAAAGAGGATGACTTGATGGAGGATAAGGGAGAGGCCGCACTCCTCTCGAAAACGAGGGCAGCGCCAGATCCGTTGTCCTGCGCCTCCTCCATGGATGCCACATCGATGGTCCTCCCAGCACCTGCGAGCCCTGCTGGTTCATGCCAGCACCAGTGAGCCCTGCTGGAGATGTGGCATGCAGGGGAGGACGAGCACAAAGGTGGGGGTGGCAAGATGGAGCGGGAAGAGGGGGCTCATTAAAGGCCTGAGGAGGAAGGGAAACCACCCCCATGACGGCCTGCACGCAGGCGGCGGCCCAGGTCGGTCAGGCCTGAACCGTGTCCTCCCCCCCCTCGCCCTCGAGGGGGCGTCCAGGATGGGGCTGGCGGCCACCTTGAGCGCTACGGCCGTCTTGCCGTGGTGGGCGCCTGTCTCGACCATCATGGGCCATGTTACGGCCAGATCGGGTCGTCGGATCAGCAGGCTGCTGTCCGACCTCAAGCTGGGGCAGACTGCCCAAAATGGAGGTGACGAAATCGTCGAGGGGATTGCCGTATTCCTGGGAGAGGCCGCAGTAGATGGCGTAGAGGCTGCTGGTGGCGTCTACCATGGTCGGTCGTCTCGTAGCAAGATTCTCCGTAGCGTAGAACATCAGCTCAGTATTCCACATCACTGACGGACCTGCTGGGGCTGCGGATTGCGCTAGTAGTGCTGGTACTTCGGCAACGTGAGCAGCATGGAAGGTGTGGATGGCGAGGCGGGCATGGTGGTTCGCGATCAGTCGACGTTCGGCTGCCTCACCTCCAAGGTTTACTCTGCCCCAAGGGTCCGTGGTCGTTCTGGAAGATGCTGCCGTTCTGTCGTGCGGGTCGCCATCGACTTGGTCGATCCAAGTGCTGGGTGAGAGGTTGATCATCACTCCCGCGAAGTCGCCTTGTCGAATGTGCTGGTGGATCGAGTCGAGGGCGTCGTACTGGGATGGGTGATCGACAGAGTAGAGATCATCGAAGGTCAGAGTAACCCGTTCCATCACCATTCCATTGTAGCATAGTCGTTGGTCCGTAATGTCGAGCAGATCGTTCGGGTGTCTATCGGTGTTGGTGAGGTAAAGCAGAGATCTGTTTCTGGTCGGTGTCCGAGGGTAGTAGGCTGGTGGTGGTGGTGTAAGCGCTGGTACAGTCGGGAAGAATGGCGGTGGTGAAGGTGATAGGTCAAGGGAGGGTAAGGGAGTGACGTCGGATGCATGGGCAGGGATAGGGTGGTATAGTTCGGGGCGGCCTCTGCGTTTGTTGTCGGCTATGCTGGCCGCGTAGGTCGCCTGATTGGTGGCCACGTCCTCCTCCGTGAGGGCAGGTCCTTGTAAATACCACAGGTGCCATGACCGTCGGCAGCGGGCGACCGTAGTTAGATGCTTCACTAGCTTGGCGAAGGAGTGGAAGTTCTGGCGGCATATTCTGCACGATGTACCCGATGCCCAGTTTCGCGGATGATCAGGTCGTCGGTGTTCACGTCCGATATGTATTGCCATGCCCTGCTTGGTCTTGGTAACGATTCCACACTCGTAGCAGATGAAGTTGCTGGCGCCGTTGTCGCGTGATGGCGTGGGGCCCGCACCAATGGGACCGTCGGGTCTGAGCACCTTGGTCAACTTGTCGGCGTGGGCGTGGTCTTTGGAGGCGCGGATGTAGTTTGTGACGGCCAGGTTGACGGAGTTGGTGAAGTGCTTCGGCGTGGTGCGAGCCCATGCAAAAACGTCGGAGTCGAGCTTGCTGGTCGTGGGCCAGCGCTGGTCGTCCAGGTATGTGCGCAGGAAGTCGAAGTCCTGGAAAAGCATGTATGTCCATGAGCCCTTTCTCCGTCGCTGGTTGTCAAGCAGTTGGAGGAGCTGCTGAGGAGCGTGTCGTAGAAGCCGTGGTAAGTATCGCAGCCGTCCAGCAGACTGGTGGTGGTCGAAGTCGGGGATGCCAGTGTAAGCTACTACTTCGGTGGCCGTGAAATGGTGAAGCTGCGAGTTAGCTTTGGGTAATCCAGCTGCCGTGCGATAGGGCTTCGAGTAGGCATTGGAGATGCGCTGGTGGTCAGTCTGGGTCAGTGCTGGCCAGACGTGATGGTTGAAGGTCAATGAGGCAGTCGAGAGGGCGTGCACGTACTTGATCTTCGTTTTGCGGGGTAGGCGTCGACGTCGTAGGATTTGCCTCTCAAGAGCTCGTGCCGAAGCGTCGGTTCGTCGCATGCGATTCTGCACCTCGGGGCCCATGCTGCCGTTGGTGAGGATGGTGCCTAAGAGTCGGTGCTGGTCTGTGATCTGGACCGAGATCGACATGATGCTCAGCTGGATTGATGTAATGTTCTGCTGTGCAAGCCTACTGCGTGCGACGTTGGAGCCCGTCCCGTTAAAGGAGATGATGACCTTGGTCTTGTCTGGGTGTGGCTTGAGCCCGTAGGTAAAGGCTGTACGGCATAGACGTTCGGCTGAAGTTCTTGTAATGTCAATGATGTCGGAGTGGCGGGTGGTCGAGTTGAAGTCGGTGAGGTCGTCGACGAAGGACATGTTGGTCAGCTTGCCGCCGTGATGAGGAGCCGTAGAGAAGAGCGGGTTGTCGCAGGGGCGGATGTGGTGGCCGCTCTCGCCGTCTTCTGCCCCATCGGTGTCGTCGGCGATGGCCTGAAGCACTAGGGGGAAATGCATGTTGAAAGCCGCGTCGGAGTATGGCACCCCTGGCCTGGTACTGGTGCGAGGGATCACGTATGCGTCGGTGCCCTGAGCGGTCATCCAGTTGGCCGTGTGGTGGTCGGCGACGAGGGCGCAGAGGTGAGAGTCGTCGACGTGGGCGTTGAGATGTGCTGGACAGCGAAGACGTTGTCGTAGGGAGGGGAGGAGGCAGATGGGAATCTCGATGTTGTCGATGACGTCTTCGAGCTCGTCCTCCTGAGTCGGCAGCTGGAAAATGAACTCCCTGATTACCGAA